CCGCGCCGCACGCGCCGCCGGGAGCTGTGGTTCGGGGCCGCGCACCGCCCGCCCGCCCGCTGGAGCGCCCCCAGCGGACTACAAGTCCCACAAGGCCGTGCGGCCCGGCATGCCCCGGGCCCGCGCGGGCATCGTCCGCGTGGGAAGGGATTCACTCCGCGCTCCACCACAAACTTAGCCGCACAATACCTCTGGAAAAAAATCAATAAACATTTATTTGATAGAGTCATTTTTAATACATACAGTTGATGGCCCGCCCCCACGCCACTCGAGTCCGGGGGACGGGGACGAGGACCGGGGACAGATGGTCACGAGGCCGGCAGGGCCCGAGCTCACCGTCAAACATCTTGCAAATAAACACTTTGTAGATAGAATATATAAGTATATATATGAATACAAGTGATAGCTGGAGCCTCTCTTTCAAAATGCACTTATGTACGGAAAACTGACATTAGAAAACCCAAACCAAGAAACCCCAAGTACAGGACGTGTGGCTACCAGGCTAGAGGTGCTGGCCTCCCCAGCCCCAGGCCTCCAGGACAAGCCGCCTGGGGCCCACCCCGTGGGGACACATGGGGACAGCCCTCCCCTCCGCAGATCAGCGTGCACCCGTTCTCTCCCTTCTGAAACAGAGGGAAAGGAGGGGGCTACGGCTGGGAGGGCCACTGGTCACACCAGGAGACACCCTCATCTGCCTTTGCATGAGCAAATAAAGTGCATCCTTTTTTTGTGTGAAGTGTCAGCCCCTTGAGTCGGCCCTTTCCTGTTCTCAGGGCAAGGGGGGTGGGCTGGGCCAGAGGTAGATCTTCAGAAAGGGACCCGGCATTGTGCCCTGGGCTTGGGTTTCTGGCAGGGTTCACACCCATCACACCTGGGGGGTCTGCCACTCCGGTCCCTCTCACTGAAGGTGTCAGTCAAGGCCAGGTGGTTACCTGGCTGCATTCCTGCCAGAGTGGGAGGTGGGCAGATCCCGCTGAGCTGCTCAAGGCTCTACCCTCTTTGGAGGAGGGCTCTGCAGACCACCTTCCCACTGCCACTCACCAGCCAGCAGGAGGGAAGCAGGGAGGGGGGGGTCCAACCCAACAGCCACTTTTGGCATCAGCCCCCCTGCCCACTTCAAAGACAAAAAAAGGAGGTTAAAGTGCTAAACATCAAGTTATCCAGGACCCCCCTCTTCCCACACACCTAGGTGGACTTCGGGGGGGGTGACCTGGAAATTCACCCCCCAGCAAAAACCAGCCCCCCACTCCCCAAGGGCCAAGTACCTGAGAGGCCAGGGCAGGCAGCCATCCCCAGCAGAGGTGCTGAGGTCCAACCTCCTCGAGCCATTGGTGACAAGGACAAAGTGCACCTGGGGCTCCTGCCAGTGCCTGATCGCCCTCCCCTCCAGAGGCTGCCCCTGCAGCAGCTGCCTGACCCCACCTCCACATCCACCAGCTGTACACCATAGTGATAACCAGGAACACGAGAAAGCCAGCCCTCCTGCCCCAAAGCCCTGCCCATGCTGCCCTCCTTGACCTTTGACACTGGATCACACACATCTGCCCAGGCCTCCACCCTTCCATCAGATCAAGGTGTGTGTGAGTGGGAGAAGCGCACATCTCCACACCAGAGCTGCCCAGGGTCAGGAAAAAGGAAAAAGCTGGAGACAGGCACCGTGGCGACCCAGCTCCAAAGCTCCCTTGGAACCTGCCTCCCTACTGCGGGCCAAGAGAGCCAAGCCCAGCTTGGAGCCCCTCCTCTCCAGGGGCTGCATGAGGACAGGAGCTGGGGGCAGAGGGGTGCCCAGTCAGCACTGCCTCCCTGAGCAGGGGAGGGACTCCAGCCTAGCCCCCAGGTCCACCGTCGCACCAGGAAACCCTTAGCACCAAAATGTCAGATTGTTGAGTTTTTGTATAAAAAACAGAATTAAAAAAAAGGTTGTTACTTGTCACAGCAACAAGACTGGCATCCACTACACACACACGGGCAAATATCAAAATTCACATCATCCAGGATTGGCAAGGCCGAGCCCTCAGCCCCCCCTACCCCCAGTGGGAAACAGCCTCTGTCCAAACCCAGTGGCTCTGAGGTTGCCCCTCCCTGCAATGCCTCAGTTGGAAGGCAGGGTCAAGGGCGTGGTGCCTCCTGCGGGTGCCCTGGACTCCAGTGTGACCACTGCCCAATCTGCAAACCTAGCCATCCTCAAAGACCCAAAGGGAACCACAACAGGGCCCCAGAGCTTCCACTACCCTACTGTGACCTTGGCCAAGCCCCTTCCCTGGCCTTCAGCTCTTGTATCAAAAGACCCCACAACCAGAAACGAAGTGGCAGGTAAAAAACAGGGGAAGGGAGCCTCCCATGGGAGCTTGGCCATGTGCCAACCCAGCAGACAGAAGGCTGCTTCCTGCAGTGGTCACTCTTCAGAGCCAGGCCCATTCTGCCCAACTCCCCACCCCATGTGCCCACGGGCCCCCAGTCAACCCCAGAGCCCAGACTGGCCCATCCCTAACCCATCAGGCTGCCCAGACCTAGGCCAGCAGCGTTAGCAAAGCTGGAGACCGGAGGCAGAGCATCCTCCATGAGGCCGCTCACCCCACGGGCTGGCAGCCATGCCCCTGGGCCTTGAACCCCTGCTTTGCAGCCCTGCAGGTGGGAGAAGCAGAGCCCCTCTCTTGCCCCAAGCAGGGAGCACCACTGGGGATGGTGGAGAGCCCCCCGTTAGCAAGGCCGCCTCTCCCCCCCAAAACAGACACGGGCCAGTGGGGCAAGGCCCAAGCACAGCAGGGGCAGCACAGGCGGGGAGGGTGGGCCTGGAGAGGTAGAGAACAGAAGCTGCGGAGCCAGAGGCGGGAGGGTCAGGGAAGTCAGGGAGGATGGACTGTCAGGTGGGCATGGCAGCGGTCAGACTCAGGGTCTGCCCTGGGAGGTAGCTGGGGATGCTGGGGTTCCAGTGTCAGGTAGAGGCGAGGCTGCTCAGGTGCCCTCATCAGCCCAGAACCACGGGTCACCAGGGATCCCCGAGCCTTGGGCCTGAGGAAGCAGATGGGGAACAGAGCTCACACGGCAAGGGCCAGAAAGCCATCTGCCTGCTGCGCACTGCCCCCATGGCACTGAGGCCCCAGCCACTGACCCTCCTCCTGGGCCCCAGACTCCACCAGACCCGTGAACGTCCGTCCCTCCAGGCTATTGCACTTCTGCTGCTGTCACCATCCCTCCCCAAAGAGCCCCTGTGCAGGTGTGCCCTGTGGAAGCCTGCACAAGGGAAGGGCCACCTTCAGGGAGGGGAGAGGGGCTGGCTACCCCTACTGGACAGATGAATAGGCAGGGGTGGGGGATGGAGAACTACAGAGCAGGAGGTCCTGGAACTAGCTACCCTCACCCTGGACAGAGGGGGCTTGGTGGCCAGCGTGGGGACTGGGCCCCACCATCTGCCAGCCACCATGCTCACTTCTCAGGTGCTCTGCCGGCTCCCACCTTCCGGCCAGTGGAGCCCCGGGCCCCCTTGTCTCTGCCTCCCGGGGGCCAGTCGTCCCGGCGGGGAGGCATCTTAGGTGCAGGCTCCTCGGGGGGCCGCTCCTTGGGCTTGCGGCCCCGCTTCTTCCCGCCTGCCAGGCTCTTCTCCTCCTTCTTGGGCGCCAGCGAATCCTGGCTCCTGTGTTTGGGAGGCGGGTCTGCTGAAGTCCGGAACCAATTCTGGGGAAACAAGAGCAGCAATAGACTCTGGGCTAGAAGGACGCTGAGCCCCAGGGCCAGCAGGCCACTGCGCAGAGGTGGCTATCTGTCAGGGCACCCTCCCAAGGGGGCGGCTCCTGCTCAGGGTGCCCGGGGCGGGGGGCACCCAGCTTCTCGGGTCTTTCAGGAAAGCTGGAAGCCACTTTGAAGAGAAATTGCCAGATTTCTCAATGTTGGCCACTCACTCAAACAAATGCCACATGAGCCATCACCCCCACCAGCTCTGCCTGGCCCAATCCCCTCCATGGGGCCAGCCCGTCTAGCCGCTGGCCCAGTGGGTCTCTCTCACACCGGGTCTGTCCCCGCCCCACCTCCGCGTGGGTCTTGAGGATGTGGTACTTGACGCCGCTCTCGGAGCTGAACTCCTTCGGACACAGCAAGCAGCAGTACTTCCCCACCAGGTGGTCTCCCTGCAAGACATGGGCAATGGGCAGCCTAGCCTCTGGAGATTGGACTCCACTCCCCACCCTTGGAGGATCTGAAACACCCAGATCCAGCCAGGAGCCCCCTGTGTAGCTACAGGGTCAGGGGCAGCCACAGCTTATCTGGATGGATGCCCAACAGGTGGGCTCCAGGGACCCACGAGGCCACTCGGTGGCAGGACCACCGAGTCGCCCCCACTGCGAAGGGGTGAGGGCTGAGGGGAGGGTGGGAAGAGGCAGGCACCCCGGGGAAAGGGGTGCAGCCCTTTGCCAAAGGACTCTCACCCCAAGCCCCAGTCAATGTGCTCACTTGTACCCGCACAGACGAGGAGCCCCCATGGACAGGACAACTCGGGACTGACTGACTCGTGACTAAGGCTGGGGGACAGCAAAGTGTCCTGGGCTGGGTTGCCATTGGGCACTGGCCAGTCGCTGGGCTCATAGAGGTAGGGGCGGGTTGCACACTCAATGTGTGGGGATCCCTGGAGGGTAGCTGGGAACACTGGGCGCCCATCCACCATGGAGGAGAGCTGGGGGACTCACCTTGCTGCAGCTGGCGAGGTGGGCCTTGAGGCCGGACACACTGGAGTAGATGGCTTCGCAGCACTGGAGGCAGGAGGCAACCATGGGGGAGGGCCTCCTGGCCAGTGCCCCCACACAAATGTATACCCCTTGCCCCAACCTGGGGGATCTGGGGCCTCTCTGTGGCAAGTGGGGGGGCCTGACCCCAGGAGTCTTGGGGTGTGGGCGGGCTGGGCCTCTAGGGCTGAGGTTGAGGCCTCTCTGCTAACAGCGTTCTGTCTGAGGACCCTGCAGGGACCCAGGGATCAGAGGCTGGTCACTTGGAGGGCTCCCACCCAGGGCCACACCTGGGCTCTCTGTCCCTGAGTCCCCGTGCCCGCCGCACCAGCCTGCCCCAGCTCACATCATTGGGACAGTTGACATGGCCTTTCTCCTTTACTTCATTCTTCCACGCCTCCAGCAGCTGGGGGTTGAGCGTGGGGAGGCCTGGCCGAGTGTAGTTGAGCTGTGAAAACAGGCAGGCCCCAGAGTGAGCCCGTTGGGCCTGGGTAATGGGGACCACTAGGTGGCTGGGCCAGAAGTGACCCCAGACACCCACAGCTGTTCTAAAAAGGCCCTCAACTGTGCCCTCCACAGACAGAAGAGTTGAATCTTGGGAGGTCAGCAGACAAACCAGGTCATAAGGGACCCCAAGCTGAGGCATATCCTGCTCAGAGACCAGGAGGCTGGGGGCTCTGGGGCAGGCAGCTCACCCGTGCGGTCTCAGGTACCAGGTCGTCCTTCATCCGCCGCTTGGTCCAGTCTCGGGCTAGTTCATCTTCTGCAATCTCTTGCAGGTGGAACACAGCAACCTGGGCCGACGTGCGGCGGATGCGGCCACTGGGGGTCCGCTCGACACCTAACAGATCCTCAGCCTCAGAAGGCTTGTCCTCAGGGTCCTCGGGGGGCTGCAGGGCAGGGAGACCAGGGTGAGCAATAAAAGCCACATGGCACACAGGTGCGGGGACCCAGGGGCATGTGCCATGGGTAAGGAACACACAAGCAACGCATTAGGGACACAGAGGCCCAGAGGCCCAGGCTCACTCCCTGCAACACACGTGGCCCACAGGGAGGGAAGGAAAAGCACGTGCAGCAGGCAGACACGCGTGCTTGGTGTCCGAGGTGCAGGAAGACCCAGGCTGCAGGCTGCTCACTGGGGCTGTGTGCTCCGAGCGCATGTGGTAGTCGTGGCCGGCCTTGGAGCGGTAGGTCTTGCCACAGTGGGTGCAGGGGAAGGAGGGGCTGTCCACCTCACAGGGTGGCTTCCCACAGCGTCGCTGGTGGTACTGGTAGCCCATGAGGCTGGAGAAGGCGGCCCCGCAGCCCTAGGGGTCAAGGGTCAGGTAAGTGCCAGCAAGAGGCTGTGCCCCATCCCACATTGTGCCCCACACCCACGCCACCCACTGACCTCCTGGGGGCAGCGCAGCCTCCCCATCTGCTTCAGCACCTTGCGTAGCCGCTCCCGCTCCTCCTGCTCACTCCCCTCCGAGGCCTCGGCGTCAGAGGGCTGGGGGGCAGGCCCGGCCTCAGTGCCCCAACCACCACAGGGCCCCTGCCCCTGCCCCGGGGTTGGGGCCACAGACGTCCAAGGGTAGGCATGGGAACCACTAAGCTCTGCCACGGTGTGGTAATGAAAGGTCAGCGGTCAGGGCTAGGCGGTGGGGTGGGGTGGGGAGTGACGGAGGGGGAGGCCAGCGGTCAGGGCTGGCGGTGGGGCAGGGTAGAGTGGGGAGCGATGGAGCGGGAAGCCAGTGGCCAGCAGCCAGCTGTCAGGGCTGGATGATGCCTTGGTGCTGTGCTCAGCCATGGTGTGGTAGTTGAGGCCAGCAGTCAGGGCTGGGTGGTGGGGTGGGGTGGGGAGTGATGGAGGGGGAGGCCAGCGGTCAGCGGTCAGGGCTGGCGGTGGGGCGGGGTGGGGAGTGATGGAGGGGGAGGCCAGCGGTCAGCGGTCAGGGCTGGGCGGTGGGGTGGGGAGTGATGGAGGGGGAGGCCAGCGGTCAGCGGTCAGGGCTGGGCGGTGGGGTGGGGAGTGATGGAGGGGGAGGCCAGCGGTCAGCAGCCAGCGGGTCAGCGGCCAGAGCTGGACGGTACCTTGGTGCTGTGTTCAGCCATGGTGTGGTAGTTGAGGCCAGCCTTGGACTTGAACTGCTTCCGGCAGTGCTGGCACTTGAGCGCGTCCTGCAGCTACAGACGTGGCCCCACCTGTGAGAAGCTGGCCCTGGGGCGCCTCCCCTCCAGGGACCCCCGGGGGCAGCCTTACCTTCTGACACACCTCCATGTGCTTCTTGAGCCCCACGAGGGTCTTTCGGGTAACCACGTTGCAGGTGGGGCAGACAGCCTCCCCCCGTTCATGGATGGCCCGCTGCCACTGCTCCTCAGGGCCACCTGTGGGGCAGGGCCGGGGCCTCAGGGCCTGGCAGGGGCTCCCGGACACCCTGGACACCAAGCACAGAACCCAGGGTCCACACTCAGCCCCCTATCCCTGCGGTCCAGGATCTGCCCCACAATTGAGACCTGGCCTGGGCCCCGCCACATGGCAGCCCCCACCTGGGGCTGGGTGGGCCACGGGGGCCGGCACCTCCTTGCTGACAGTGCTAGTGGGCGCCGGCACCTTCTTCCGCACGTCTTCCGGGCCAGGCCCCTCCTGCTTCTTAGTGCGGTGAACCCGGGATTTGTCCTCTGCCTTGGCCAGGCCTGTGTGCACACGCGGGGTGGGGCGGGTGTGGGCACACACGTGCACGCGCCCAGCCCCGCAGGTGCCTGGCCGGCCGGGACCTCACCTTTGAGTCCAAAGGTCCCTGAGATGGACGGCTGCTCCCCCGTAAACTTCTTGGGTGTTTTCTGTTTCCTTCCTGACTCGGGGGAGAGAAAACGATGGCCAAGGTTCTGGTCAAATAACCATCAGGAGACCAGACCGACCAGCCGCTACCCCCCGCTCTCGTCTTACTGTGCTTCGTGCGCTCCATGCTCTCCTCAGGCGGAGACCCAGGGCCTGCAGCCTTCGGCGCCTCCTTGCCTCCCAAGGGCCCACTGCCCAGGGAAAGGGGGCCGCCACTGCGGTCTGTGCTCAGCTGGAAGGCTGAGCCCTGGCCTGTGGTGGACGGGCCGCACTCCCCATTCTCCGGCCTCGCCTGCTTGGGCAGGACAGGGCAGGCATCCAGGCTGTCCGCAGCCCTGCAGGGAGTGGGGAGGTGAGGGGCAGGGGGCCCACTTTGAGCCCTGTCCCCACAGGCTGCGGCCGGGGAGCACCCCAACCCCACCCAGCAGGAGCCCCGTACCTTTTCTTACCACTGCTCCTCCCCGCCGCACGAGGAGTTTTGCTCTCAGGCTTGGTCAGCAGCACCATTTTGCAGGGTGGTGTGTGTCTGCCAATGGCAATGGGCCTGCTGACCGTCACCGGCTTACTGACCACAATGGGCCTGCTGACCGTCACCGGCTTTGTGACTGGCACAGGTTTTGTAACTGTCACAAGCTTTGTCATTGGCACTGGTTTGTTGACGGTCACCGGTTTGGTGACTGGCACGGGTTTGGTGACCGGCACTGGCTTGTTAACCGTCACTGGCTTAGCGACCGGCACAGCCTTGGTGACCGGTACAGGCCTGCTGACCGTCACTGGCTTGGCGACCGGCACAGGCCTGCTGACCGTCACTGGCTTGGCGACCGGCACAGGCCTGCTGACCGTCACTGGCTTGGCGACCGGCACAGGCCTGCTGACCGTCACTGGCTTGGCGACCGGCACAGGCCTGCTGACCGTCACTGGCTTGGCGACCGGCACAGGCCTGCTGACCGTCACTGGCTTGCTGATGCCAATGGGTTTACTGACACCCACGGGTTTGCCAACAGTGACAGGTTTGCTCACTCCAATGGGCTTGCTGACCCCGACGGGCCGGCTGATGGTGACTGGCCGGCTGACTGGTCCAGGCTTGGGGGCAGGCAGGGGTCGGTCCATGTGGTTCCAAATCCGGTGCTTCTCAAGCTGGGTCTTAGAGGTGAATGCAGCCTCGCAGAAGGGGCAGGGAAAGGTCAGCCTTTCTGAGATGGCACCCTGGGTGGAGAGAGCAGGTGTGGGATGGGCTACCCGGGCCCCTGCCCAGACACACCCCAAGCTGACAGCTGTGACAGGGTGGGCCCCAGGCCCCCTCTCCACTGACTCACAGCCCCTTACCCCTTGGCACCGCTGGTAATGGTACTTGAGCCCGTAGATGCTGGGGAACTCCAGCCAGCACCCCGAGTTTGGACACTTCACCCTTGAGTGTGCCTTGAATTCATCTTTCCACTGGTTCATCAGGGAGAGCTAGGCGTGGAAAAGACCGGGCTGCTGAGCCCTCAGCCACCTAGACCTCTGCCAACCCGGGCCCCAGATTCAGCACCCTCCCTGGGCCTGGAGGGCAGACAAGCTGCAGAAGCCCTTCGACATCAGGACCAAGGCAAGATTCAGGCCACCCCAACCAGCAATGGTGTACCACACCTATCCTAGGAGCCCCGCAAACGTGCTCCACTAGGCCCCAGGCCACATCCTGAAGACCTAAAGCATGGAGTGGCCTGCTAACACAGGCTGAGGGCTTGGTGATAGAGGTGTGGAGGGCAAGCAAAGGCAGGGCAGTGGCCATGACAGGCAGACCCCAGCAGGAGTCCCACCCCAGTCCTCAGGGAGCTCACGGGAATGTCTCGGAGGGCCTGGTTTTCAGCTTTCGGACGTCCCTTTTTCTTCCCTTCTGTCCTGTCGCTGGCCGGACTTCCCGGGTCAAAGCAGAGTGGGGCCTGGCTGGGCACCGTCTGCCCGCCCCTGACCACCGGCATCCCTGAAGCACAGGAACCGGCAAGGCTCAGAGGCTGTGCTCCCTGCAGCCCTGCCTGCCACCCAGGGGGCTGGTCAGGCCTGGAGTGAGCCTTGCTTCCCCAACACTGAGGCACGGCAGGCAGAAGGCTGTGGTCAGCCTAGGACAAGAATCCAAGGCTCTGGGCTGCCCCCACCCTGGGAAGGCTCTTAGGAGCCCAGGCGGCCTGGCTGGGCACTCAGGAGATGGATGTCCGGGCAGGTGGCCCGCACCCAGCACTGGCTGCCCCTGACTGCCTGCACTTGATCTTCACCTGACCCCTCTTACCCAGCTTCGGTGGGTCATGCAGCACGGGAAGTCGGACCTCGTTCCGGCCGCCATCCTTCCCAGGTCCACTCTTGCTGGACCCTGGGAGCCGGCGGCCTCCTCCAACACAGAAGGGATCGGTCATCTCTGCAGAGCAAGTGGACAGACCTGTGAGGCCCACCAGGCCTGACTGAGGACTTGCAATAAGCTGCCCTTGAGCCCCGCCCCCAGATGGGCCCACTCTGGCACAGGGAAGGGGAGCCTGCTCACCTGTGCTTTTGGCCACAGGGAAAGCAGGTGATGGGGGACTCCTGGTTTAGGTGAGGGGCTGCCCAGACGAGGTCGCCCCAGATGACCGACCAGACACAATCAGTTTGGAAGGATCTAACCCTGCCCTGAGACCCTCACCAGCTCTGAAGGGCCCCGTCTGTCCCCAGACACACATTCCCAGAGAGCACTGATCCTGGGCTGGCCCCAGGAGGGGCGGTGTGCTGGGGAAGAAGGAGGCCAACAACACCCCTCCCGGAGGCCAATTATGACACCAGGATGGCTGCTGGCTCACAGGCTGCCCTGGCTTGGCACCTCGGGATACCTTCCTCCACAGCCCCATCCAGACCCAAGGCAATGCCACCCTATCGGGGCAGGTGCCCCTGGCTCCTTCTCCCCAGGACACAGATGGAACACGGCCAAGGTGGGCGCTGACGCCCCTAGCCTACTCACCAACTGCACACGCACCTCTGGGAGGCAGACCTGGTTCTGGTCCCCATGCCAGCCGAGCCACCCTTACCTGACCCTCTTCTCGGTCTTGTCTCCAACTGGAGCCCCTCCACCCAGACGAAGGCCTCCTGCTGGGCCCCTCAGCCACCCTCCATCTGGCTGACCTCCTCCTCACCTCCACCCTCAGGAGCTTCTCTGCCCCCCATCTACAGGCCCACCAGCACCACTCCAGAGACCACTGGCCACAGGCAACACCCTGCTGCCTGAGGCTGGGCCTCCGTGGCCTATTCTGCTGGGGGACCCCACACCCTGAGAGCTGGGAGGACTCTGAGCTCGCCCTGTTGGGTCCTCCCACAGGTACACCCAAGGCCACAGAAAAGGGAGAGTGGTTCTGTAGGCAGGTGACCCTCCCCTGGTAGTTTTCAAGTTAGATCAGAGAAGATGTGCTGAGACTGCGGGGCCTAGGAGTGTCCAGAGACTCATCTGAGCAGGCTGAGGCCAGAGTTCAGGACAGTCACTGCCCTTTGCCAAGGGGGTGCCCATATCCTGGGCCTGGGGGTAGGTATGGGTCCAGATGGATCTAAACAAACTTCTCTGGAAGCCCTCACACTGTAACTTCCAAAGCAGACATGCCAACATCAGTCACCCCAGCCCCGTGATGACCCCAGCAGCCTGGGATGCGGGTGCCTGCTAAGCACCCCTTTCCAGTCTTTCCCCAGCTTGGGTGGAAAATTCAGAGCTGGGGCGCCGGGGGCCAGGGCTGGCCTAGAAGGCAGAGACCCTCCTTCTATCCAAGGCCTGTGACTCGCGCACCAGGAGGAAAAAGGGCTTCCACCCTCCCAGAGGGCCCAGCAGCCTCGCAGAGGTGGGACCCTCGTGGGGGACAGGGGGAGCCGTGCTGACCGCAGGCGACGCTGACAGCGGGACCTCGGCCAAGGCCGCTGGGCCCGGGACCCCGGCCCGGGCCCGGGAGCGCGGATGAGGCCGGCCAGGGGACGCACACCTGGAGGCTGGCCTCGCCACCCACCTGTCACCTGCGGCCGGGGTGCGGGCCCGGCCTGGCCCCGGAAGGGCCGCTCGCGGCGCCTGGGGGGGGGCCCGAAGGCAGTGAACCAAAATGGCGACTTTTTCTGGAGAAGGAGGAGGCGGGAGCGCGGCGCCGGCGCGGGGGGT